TTCTGGCTCAACTGCGTTAGTTATTTTCAATACAGCGTTTTACCTCTTGAGAAGTTATTCACCCAGTAGTCATCTAACGTTCGGTTGTTTCCCTCATCGTCCTGAGAAGCCAAAACTTCTTCATCTCTGTCACCTCTGATCAAGGGTAGAACGATCATTTTAGTGGTTGTGATCCCTCACTATCCCTATTTCGGGTATCTCTTCATGATCCTATCAAGTAAACGCATTCGATCCTCTCATTTTTGAGCTCTCTTTAGTAGAATTTGACACCTAGTTGCTTATGCCATGAGACTTCGCACAAGCTATGTTCGCCTCAGTCTTATTCACGGGTTCGTTATTGCTCGTATCCCATTCTACTGAAAATATCTCCTCTAGATTCCTTTAGAAAGTCCACCATATTTTTGTTAGAGCGCCAAAAACGTCTTTATACGTTCAGTAGGATCACACACAAAATTGTATTTGTTCACTTGGCTGCGAACAAGGATTTCGATAACTGTTTCACATCAATTCGAAGAATTTTCACCGACATCTTCCACTCTCACCATCACCCAACCGGCAAAGCCATGTTCACCCCAACTCCAGTTCTTTAGACTCTTTTATCTAGTTGATTCCACTTTCCTGCGAATCGGCCTCACTCACTCGTCCAAAGTGTTCTCTGATGGATAGTTCAAGGCACTTTACATTCTACCATATAAAGAGTCGTGTTACCACTTTCTTGTAATACCCTTTTGAACCTGCGTACTGAATATCCTCCTAACCGTGCACAAAGGTTTACTTAACTTTGTGACAAAAAACAGGTCAGCTTTTCTTACCACTCATAAATGGGAGATTGAATCCAGACTCATAAACCTCCCATCACACCAAGTCGAACCATTTAGTCGCTTTCAACCATTTTGTCAAGCCAAAGCGAAGACATGTCACGATGTGGTAAGGATACTTTTACTGTCTTCATTCGCGGACATTAAACGTGCAAGATTATGTAGTCAGGAAGTGACAACTATAAGACAATAAACTGTAATTGGCTCAGAAATAAGATCAATTCACACTTAATGAGTCTTCCTTTTGTGGATTCGTCACTCTATGAACCGATCAATACGTGACCACGTGATATGAATTCCCTGGTTGAAGTGTGAATGATGCTTCATCCTGTCTAAGCACATGTTATCCATGCTGTTGACCAGCCGCTCGTGTTCGAACGATTCATTCTTCATCTACTAGTCACCAGGCCGAGGATTTGAATGACCCTTTAGATCTGTGAGATGATGATATTTAATAAGAATGAAAGCGCTGTAGAATGCTTCTTGGCATTTTAGCATAGACTGGCTTCACTTAGAGAACGAAATCTCGATTGCAAAAGGGATATTTATTGGCCGTGTAAAATCATTTACAGGGTCAATTCCATGAAAATCACAGGCTCTTAGTCAACAAACCTGGTACAAATGATGCCCGTTTGTGATTCTGAATTCATATGGCCTGGGCAATTGCAACGTAGGGTTCAGTCACCGCAATAATACCTGGAAGCAATCTCTAAGATTAGTGCGATGGCAGGTATCAAGATGTCTCCGTGGCGATAGGCTCCGTGTTTTCCCTCTGATCCTTGCAATTTGATTGTGACAACAATGATGTAGGTTTCTTAACGACATTTTCAGCTGCCAGAGTTGATAGACCTCGATCTGTTCTGCCAACAGGTGTTGCTGGAACTTAATGTGAACTGATAAGCTATATGGGAGACACAGAGGGCGGGCGAACTGTTCGCTCACTTGTATCATCTACTGGCGCCTACGAGATGCAGTTGTACAGGATATAGATCCGACTCCTGTTTGTGCTTCAATTCACTGACTACATGGTCGACTTTAACCTACCGTAACACTACGCGACTGAAAAAAATCGTTCAGCTGTGGCATCCTTTTGGTGCCTAACTATCATGCCACCAGATGGATGCACGAAAGCTGAGATACTTCCAGGTTGCCCAAACATAGACAGGGTAAGTCGAGAGGCAGAGGTCGGGTTCGAACCGTGGACGTTCTGGTCAGTAGATTTGTACTCCAACCACTTGAGCCATTTCGCCACCTACGTCCACGACTGAGAACACTAAAAGAAATCTGAACATCACAGTATACCTATTTAATCTGCAATGTTTACCACAGACCAGTGTTCGATTGCTTATAAGACATTGGGTGGATTGAGTAGGACCAATATGTTTCTATGACCGGTTCGAATGGGTTTGCTGTCTAACCCACAAGACATGTGGCACTGCTCAAGTTTGCAACGCTGCTTTGGAATTCGGATAGCCGTGTGTTCTATTCTGTGTGACTTGACAACGGCTAACGTGACTCAACAGTGAGATCAAAATATGGAGCCGTAATAGACTATGAATAGCAAGCTCATGCAAGAATCACGTGCTGGGCACGTGACTTGATTTTTATCGCCTGATGCTCAGTCATGACAAATTGTTGTCAGTTTGCAGTTGCGGTATGTTAAAACATGACCAAAGAAAACGAGACACTGACGTTGAGGGAGAGAGTTGATGTTTAATTTTCCAGACAGGACGATAGTGAAATCTATTGATAATTTAGTCAGTGTTTATCCAAAATCTTCCACACCATTACGGATGTGCTTGAGACAGACACGTACGCACGATATTTAATCTATGCGTAGTTGCAAGCTAATTTACATATTGGTATGGTGTTGACGTGTAGCGCAACTAAAACTATCGTTTATGGCATTCTGCGACTGAATATGCTTCACCGTATCAAATAAGTACTTTGTAACCCAGGATATCGGTCAAACCGAAACATGAGGCGGTTTCCCTGTCACACATCCGGATGAGGCGTATCATAAACGGATGATTTCAACTGGGCTTATCTCAATCATGCATTGTTGTGTAATCCTGATTACATACAAATTGGTGTTCTGTTAGGAAATATGACTGATGGAAACCTGAGGGATTGCGCTTGTCCGATGAACCTCAAAACGGACAACTGTGGTTGCTGGTTGTCAATTTTTCGTCAACCTCACAAGTGATGTCGCACCAAATGCTTTCTTGAATTTATAACTCATCCTTTATGGCTTTTGACTTACACTTGAGGACAAGGATTTCTATTGTCTCGAATTAACTTGGGATTTTTTTCGAAAATGACCTCTCAGATTCCCTTAGCTTGTATCAAATTATGTCGTTTCGTCACTCTACCCTGACAAACTCCGTCTTGCCGACAGTAGATTAGTAGTCTCATTTCTCCAAACCATAGTACTCGAAAACGAATCTTCCAACCAACTTTTTCTCGTTTCAACTTCACCTATTCTTCACACCTTTTAGAACCAACAAGCACATGGCCGTTCCGGAAAACATGTTTAACAGATGTGCTCGGGCTAGTGCTGTCCGACCTCCCCAATACTCACAATTTACTGACTGGCGAAGTCATTTGTTTTGCTAAACTTTAACGGATTGTACTGTACAACACCAATGGAACACTGGGCTGAGGTGCGGCCGAGGGACGAGTGCGGGCATAAAACACTGTATCACCAATCTATTCGAACTTCAATATTATGCATCGGGAGGTAGCTAAGCTGAGAAGTCTAGTCAGTGGTTTACTATCAGAAGTGGCGATGGCTTATAGGGTACCATACCGAGCTCAGCTTGGATTGCTGGATTCATGTGACCAATGATAGTGTATTTTCGCACATGTACATGACAGGAGGCCTGGAGTCTTGTCACACTTATTGTCTATGCGTATGCCAAGCTGAACTGTGTATATATGGCTACACCCATCATATAACTGCACTCAGTTGATAAAGAGCATATCGTCATTGGAAGAAGACGTTTAATTTTTCACGTCATTTTGTCTTTACTCGCTGATTACAACTGATGAGCTTTCCCCGGACGATGGTTCAGCAGTGTAAGATCAACCCAGTAAGGGCTTAAACACAGTAAAACATTGTGGTGTCTCTTCACAATGGCCAATTCTCTGGGTCTTCTCACCTAATTCCTGTGGTAACTCACAGAATAAATTCTCTTATCTTTGGTGGCAACTTTGGGGAGTTTTCAACCCTATGCCACTAGCCACACTATCCCCTTCAGAAAATAACAGCTTAAAAGTGAATTTCATCATAAGATGCATTTCATTTCATGTACGTGAATGTGTTTATGACACACTGCGACAACCGGACCAAAAGTTTTTACCTGGTCCCATCATTGATCTTTGGGGCGAAGAAGAACAGAATTCCTCCCACTAACGCGATTGTCAGACGAGTAAAAAGAATGCCTAAATTTTCTCCTTGCATAAGCCACAAGACATATCCGTCTTTATACCGGAGAATTTCATTACTTACTGCTCAAAGTCTCAACCGCTTCAAACAGCTTTTCTTGGCATTTCTTTTGTTTCAAACAGCCGAGAGCCTGCCTGACGTTATCTGCACTCGGGACAAATATGCTGCACTTTTATTGATGGAACACACTGCTCCTAAGGTTACTGAAAACTACTCGACTACCCACTACCGGGTTCTGCTTCTTAAGCTTATCAGGCAGGGGCAGTCCACCAGTCCGCCAGCTTTATGTCCTACTTGATCACGAACTAGTGCGCAGCCAGCGGATTACACTCGTTTGCAACTTGGGTGAATGTGAACGTGAGACCCAACCGAACCCTAGCTGAGTATATTTTACGTTCAGTTGGAACATAAACTTGATAGAAACTCGGATTGCGCCCACCTGATTAGTTTCGAAACGAGCGAATGTGGTCGTGGGGTGTCGAAGAGCTTTTAGTTATCTCAAAGTTGGCTTGTCTCATCAAGAACATATACTGTGATACCCCGAATGTCTTGCCAACTGAAGCATGAGGCGGCCCCAGTTGAGCAGGTTAAGTTGGAGAACATAAACAGCAAATTCGGATGGGGTTAATTTGAATAACAAGCTAACACGAACCTAATTTGCCAGTGAGTATTCCGCCAGTCTTCTATAACCCGATTAGCCGATTGAACGACTGCATGAACGCTAAATTGCTCACCTTGACCCACGCCTGTATGGTATGGCTGATCCGCTAAGTCTTGCGCTGCACGCATATTCTGATGGTGATTCTAACTGGTTTTGCTGAATGGTAAAAATGGAAACACTGGACCAAGGTAGCCACACAAGTCTGAGCCCGCAACATTCGTTTAGGTCGTAGCATTTTCACCTAGAGTTGGACACTGTTGTGGCCGTATGAATGTTTGGGTTAGATAGCATGTGTTTCATCATCTATGTGATTTTTACCACATTGTAACTGAAGAATGTCATGTGAGATGATTCTATGAACCGTGGGTTCTTTTGGTCCACAAGATGGCATTTTCGTCCATATTTGTCCGTGATGTTGAAGTATATAAGATCATGAACTACTTGGACGACCTGTGCTAGAACTCCATACAGGCGGACGCCTTCGGTTTGGCTGCCGGCTGCCGTCTACTACTCTGTCTGCGAGAAATCAAAACGTGGTAAACGACTCTTTAAACTTCTGTTACATTTGGAAACAAACGTCTTCATAATAAGAAGCACAGTGTAATGATAACAGACACAAACAACAATTAAAGTCAAAACATTTGTGCCCTAATTTAACCGGAGTATGCCCGTATGAAGTAGTTCACACCGTAACACACGTTGAGGTGTAGAATGCGCAACACCGCGCACACACAGTACCAATTCTTATGGAAGATCCGTTCGATTTCCCTCACTAGCTAATAGCTTGTTAGTAACCTAGGCACCCCCCTCTTCCTTTCAATAGTAAACATTTCCAACCTGGTTTGCCTACTATGACGAAATCGAAGATAGCTTTCAAGTGGCAGGATTTAAAGCATAAAAACAACTAGGGGACGTTAGATGAACTGAGAAAAGGCATGTTTGCAGGGCTTGACATGCGGTTGAACGTGATGCATTTCGCAACATAACAAACAATACCAAGTTGGGTGAAATTGATTTAAATGAGTGATATTCGACAGCCAGTTGTTTGGGGGCAAACATAAAGGTTTGGAAAAATGGAGGGTGTTTTGGATTATAATTCTCCTAAAATAACAAGAAAAGCGGCAAGAAATTTCCTTCCAGTGTGTACTTTCTGCTGTAAAGCGACCTCCAGACATACCAAGCTGTCTTGAGTACTAGACGTTCAACTTTTTCCGTGCTTTCCGTGTTTCCGCCAGAAGAGCGGGTGAACTCATGTGGAGGTGAATTGAATTCTGTTGATCAGCTGGATTCAGCTGGTATCTGCGGTTGTATCATCTCAAGGCTCACAAGTAGGATTCTCAAGCGGACATATAGTTTTATGATGTCGAACTTGAATGTAATTTCCACTAAAGTTTTAGTGCTCTCCGGAACTCATTGGGAACACAAGGATCAATGAAAATTCTTGTGTAAAATGTAATTGAATTTTCGCTTCGGCTTGATACTTTGGGCCCTACTATGGGCCCTGGGAAAAGTCACTAACCATGCTGATTGAAGAGAGAGATTCCATACAGCATTTCGGTTTTACGTTTCCTGTGCAACCTAGCTCAACGACAGCCTACATTCACGGTCTCGTCAATTGTTGAATTCTAAAAAAATGGCTCCAAGCATAACATTTTCCCGGACTGCGCCACTAATTTTATTTTAGAACTAGACCACATGATGTAGGCATTTTATAAAAGCCTTAATTGCCAGTTATTTACAACTTTATTAACTCATAGAATACGCGTAAGAGCAGCATTTACCACGCTGTAACTCATCAAATGGCCCGCATCTGTTTGGGTTGTGGGACTATTCGTAGTTTGTAAGCGGTAAAATTTAGGACCTGAAATTGGCTGTCCATAACAAAAAGGAATTTTCCGCTCTTGGTTAAGGCCTGTTCGTGTGAATAGCCTGCTTCCTGCTCTGGCGCCTTTACTCTGGTGAGTCCACATCAAAGACGGGAGGTAGTACTGGTCCCCAGTTTCGCTGTTATTAGCGCTAATCAGCAGTGCACGCCCTTGGTCGAAAGGGGTTTTTTGAACCCCGGGCATCTAAAATGCTAGACGAATGTGTTATTACCACCGTCCATTCTGGACGCGCTCACCCTTGTGCGATGCGATGCTCGATGCTTCGAACGTCAACCCAGCAGCCATCCCGGCTGCGTCGATCGACTGAGCTGCCTTCAGTTTCTACTCTGGTAATGCGAAAGACGGTTGAAGTCTGCTGGTTAATTTTTAATACATATGGCGTCAGGGTAATTCACATTTACATCAACCCATTTTGCACAACAAAGTGTGAACGGTCAAGGATATGCACCGCTTCTACTATAATATACGAACCGTTGATCGTTCAGAAGGATTCAGTTAAAAATAGTAGTGAATACTTAGCCTTACTTACTTACTTACTTGGCAATGAATATTTTATTCGGGGTAATAATCCCTTGGTCATTCCATTTCATGTTGACAACAGTAATTAGTATTGCCTAAGAGAACTACGTACATTTATCAGTTCAATCTTCAGTCGTAAATCATGGACACCTTCGCACTGACATGCCGATTTTGGGCACAGACCGGGGAGTTAGCATTCCAAGCACATCTGTTTGACGGTTTAGCCATGCATCACTTGCTTGGTTGTGCGCGTCGGAAAGTTTTCACTTCCGCTGTGAGTTCAATGTTGGCAGAAAATTTGCTAGACATGCGGGGCAATTGACATCAGTGTCCGTGCCGTTCCTCACAGTGTACGGTAACGGAATTATCCATTAGGAAAGGTCGAAGTGCTGACTGGGAAGCGTCGTTGACCCGGGTTGATACTAGCTGCCAACGTCTATGAACGTACGCAATTCAGTTCATTTTCCCCAGTGATTATTCGCGTAGACGTAAATGTTCGCACTTAACCCCTGGTGCGCGTGTTCTTCACAATTTCGAAGACATTCCGACGCCTCATTTGACCTGCTATTCAGGCATGCAAAATAGTGCTTTAAAGTACCTGAACGCGTCACGTCATTGCGAAAAGTGACCTTGTCCATTATTCACTTCTAGTCGTTAAATCTCGGCCAAGGTACACGAGGTCCGGTAGTTCTGGTATCTTATTTTGTGCATGTCCGCTCGTTCATGTTGTGCACCATTCACACAAGCCGAATGACTACCGGTTCGGTGAGATCAGACCACACTACACATTCTTCTCCTTCGGATACCTCGTATTTATATTAATCCATCCTAGGATTATTTTAGAATCGCCCCGGGGATAATTGCAACATCCATCGAAAACACTTTTAAAGGTTTCCGATAACAATTTTATTCTCTCACTATAAAATTAAGGTGTCGTAGGGGGCGACACCGTCTACCTTGCTTCGGAATTCGAGGCGCTCGATCAGTTGACGGGACATTCAATAGATGCTTTGCACAGACATGTGCATGCACTCACACACAAGAATTTTCCATTCAAAGTCCAGTACGCAGATTACTCCGCACCTCATTTGCCAATTTAATTGGTATATATATGTATATATCGCGAATAAGTCAAAAGCAAGAGCCTGTTGTATCCGTAGCCTGATGATGATCGGATAACTGATGCTCAGAGGGTATACGGCTAAGAAACACTCTCTATTTCATCTGGGCAAAGAGGAAGTGATCGAAATCCATGTGGCCTGAACAGGTTAGCTCAACGGAAGCAGTTGACAATTTGGCCAGTTATCCGTTAGGAGTAAGAGAGGAGGCGGAAAAACCGTAATTTGCTGATTTTCGAACGTTTGTATGCGGTCTGAAGATAATCAAGCGCCTAATTGGTTTATCACACCAGTGGTTGCAGATTTCACAGTTGCGCATAAAAAATGACTACCTGAAACCTGACGGTAGCGTTCAAAAGCTCACAGCGCATTTTGCTTTGCTCGCTATTCTGTGTTCTCTGTTCACAGTGACATTCTTTTCAACGCGTACGCTTTCTATTCGGCCAACAACTACCTATTTTTCATTGTTGTAGCATCAAAACCGTATGTCGCAACGTGAGCAGATACTGAAAGTCAAAATGTAAAGTAATGGGACCTCACTTTGCACTCGCAACCTGTGTGAATTTCACAGCGCTTGAAAACACAAACATCCCTTTAACTGTCATGATTTTCAAGTGGTACTACTACTTCAGACTAGTCTGTTCACCACAGCTCCTTTGCTGCCGTTCGAAAAGTTGGTCAGTGATACCAAAGATTTTGACAGATTTTTGCGGTCTAAGAAAGAATCAGCTAAATTATAACGCGAAACGCCGCCTTGATTATACCAACCACCTTACGTGGTTTCGTCCAATTTCTCCTACAGCCTTTAACAAAGGATAAACAACATTAAGCGCAGTTCGGTTCTCCGTGACCACCTTCAGTGTCATTTTTAGAAAGCCGAAAAGCGTGCGTCAATGCTATATTCACACATATGAAAAAGTTGACAGGAGTACAACACTTTGGTTACTTCCTCTAATGTGGCCGATTCAGACCGGTTCCGCAATGATTACGTCAAAAAGCTTTACCCAGTTGAATTGACAAATAGTGCACAAATCGTGCACGTCAAATTAGAAGTTGTTCACACGCAAGTCAGCTAGTGCTTCCATAAGCACACCAGCGTATTAAGTTAAGTTTGAATCTCGTAATGAGGTAAATTACAGAGGTCAGAACCAAGGTCTTAAAAGGAAGCTTCAGAGATGGCATGACATTGGGTTCCAAATGGGTGCAACCTGTTTTACGAAAACAGCCCATAGGCTGTTTATTGATGTGGAATACGGAAAGGTCCAACGGATCAGGAATTCTTTCTATCAAACCTTTACTCACACTAACTGTTGCAAATAAACTCTGATCCTAACAAAGCTCGTACACTGAGAAAAACTTTTAGTTCTTGGAAAATGTCTTACCCTGCTACCATTCCGTGAATCCTGTGACCGGGTAATGGACTCTTTTTTGGAAACGACCTCGCGGATAAACATCCGAGACTCCAGAGCACTTGATCCACCGGGCGCCACAGACGTTCAGCGGAATATTTTCAGTCATGCCCGCTAAGCGTAATACCGTTTTCACCAAAATGCTGTGCTATCCGCGCAACCTTCTTTACAGTAAGAACCATAGTTTGAAATACTGTAGAGCTCCGCTCCCATCACATCCTCTT